TGATTGTTCATTAACTCTTGATTGCTTGTAATACTTATGAATATTTTAGGTGGACAAAAAGGCGAACTAAGAGGTGGACGCCTGAGCTTTTCCACATTTATATCGCTGTGAAGCAACTGTAAACTTGAGAGGGAATCTATATCTGTAACTGAAACCAGTTCGATTTTGTTTGCCAACCTGGTTAAAATGTCATATTCAATTATCTTAAAGATAAATCGTCCAGCTCAAACCTTTGTAGGGGTAAGAGGTGGGACCATCATCATCATCATCTTTATTATGAGCATGCAAATTGCATTTTAGAGCATATGTGATTTAAAATTTCTTAAAAAATATTGACTGCCTCAAATACATTGCTTATTATTTTTCACATGTTGCTTATAAGTAAGGCTTATATTTTGCCGAAGAAAGCTAAATAGTCAATAATGAAGTTGTGTCTGAAAGTGTGTCGGTTTTATAAACTGAACAGTTCTTAGGGGGTCATTTCTCGACAGACCCTATCTCGAATACAAATGTCATCTAGAGGCTTCCGGAGCGCATCTAACGCTAAATCATTTTCTCTTTAGCGTTAAAAGAGCAGCTAGTTTTTGTATTCCCGGGAACGAATTCTTGGAAAATGAGATTTCCCGGGGCTCCCGATTCATAGGAACATAATATTCATTTCTCGGGATTCCCAAAATTTTCTCCGCTGAAACGTAATAACACATTGTGAGAGATAAATAAATAAATAGATATTGCTTGTTATGAAATGGATAATAACTAGGTAGGTCATGACTATTCATACACATTTCCTGACAGTTGGTGAAAGATCATTTGGATTCAAGCTGCTGCACGGGTAAGTTGATCATTTATTAGCTGCGTCGAGGGCGATTTGCCTATAATTAATATCGGTGGATTTTCACATTTCTGGCGATCCTGCCAGGAGACAAACCTGGAATCTTGGACAACCCAGATAGGTAATAAAGGGCAAATCACCCGCTTGCAAGGAAAATTGTGGGTGTGCAAGTGTGGGCTTGCTACGAAAGCAAGTGTGGCAATGGTGGAAGACAGATTTTGATAGATTTCTACCACCCAGAATCCAGAATTTGTGGCGGAGGGTTGCTAGCAGGAGTTGCGGCCCTGCGTGCAGTAGCTTTAATGGTGGTAAGCTCCAACCGGTATTATCCTCGGATTAAATCCCGATCAAGAATGTCGGGCTGGTTTGATGTCGACATCAGAGTTAATCAACATAATTCTGAGCAAACATTTTTCAGATCATACAAACAGGGACGGTATTAAAAGTTAATCCGAGTTGGAGCTTACCGCCATAAGTGAAAGAAACTAGTCAGCAGAGTCGACAGCGGATGTCTGACAGATAGCACGACGAGGTGTTTGACCTAGTCGGAGAGCGCTGCGTTTAGTAACCGGCCACCGATACGAAGAATATCATCCTGGTCGATAAATGGACTCAGCCACTTTAAAGCGGAAGACTTGGCAACTCTTTCCCCGTTGGCTAAATCGGCAACTGAGGGTAGTGTACTTTACCGGATCACAACGGCGCAGCGATGCACGTTCTCGTAAAGAACGAACGTAGCGTAAGCAGACAGCTAACACGACGAAGCTAGGATAAACCAGAGTTGCGAGCAAACAAATCGTCGCAGAAGTCCACCTGAACGACGGCCATCGCAACGAGTCGTGCCTTACGAACTTCTTCAACAGTCGCTCCCGTTTCTTCTTCGGATGGAATTGGTTTTGGCCAGGCTTCCGGAGCACGTGACAGCCACTCAGGACCGTTCCACCAGCGCTTGCATTGCAGAAGTTCCACTGGATTCAGTATCCGCGAGATATCATCAGCAGGGTTCTCGATGCCAGTAGTGTGTTTCCAGCAGTTCACGTCGCTTGCGTGCTGGATTTGCGCCACTCGATTCGCTACGAATGCCTTCCAACAGCTAGGCGATGATTGTAGCCATTGGTTTACGGTGGTGGAATCCGTCCAGAAGAAAGCAGTGGCAGATATCTTCAGGGCAGCATTCACCTTCTTGTAGAGCTGCGTTGATAATCGTGCAGCGCATAGCTCTAGCTGGGCTATCGAATGCCGACTGGATAATGGCGCAACCTTGGATTAGGCCGTCGGAAGTTGAATTGAAACACCGTCACTAGTTTCGGCCCGCACGTAACAGCAGGTCCCATGCGCTCCCTTGGAGGCGTCGGCGAAGAAGTGAAGCTGAATGCTAATAGCGTTAGGCAGCGAAACGAATCGTCGAACACGAACTTCACCCAATAAATGGAGAGTAGCATGGAAATCCTTCCATTCTTCTTGCAGCTTGCAGGGGGAGTGCAGTATCCCATTCGCAATCTTCACCATTCTGCTTCAAGGCTCACAAACGCTGCTTGAACAGTTTGGCGACAACGATCGTAGGACCCACGAGACCAAGTGGGTCGAAGATGTGAGCGATGTAAAACATCACCTCACGCTTCGTCAGGATCACAGCAGGAAGTGGTAGCTGGACCTCGAACCGAAGTACGTCGTTCGATGGTTCCCAGACGAGACCGAGAGTTGAAACTGCTGGCTCATCTTGTAGGTCGTGTTTGAGCGCCAGATCTTCTGATGGAACGTCCTGGAGAACCTCAGGAATATTCGATGCCCACTTCTTAATTGGAAATCCAGTAGCACTAAACATCTCTATTACCTGCTTGCGAAGCTGGATGGCAGATTCTACATCGTCGGCACCAGACAGAAAATCATCGACGTAGAAATCGTGAATGACCGCTTCTGCAGCAGCTGGAAATTGATCTCCATTATCTAGAGCGATTTGTGGTAGAGTCATCGTGGCCAATAACGGAGCAGACGCAGTACCGTAGGTGACTGTCTGCAGTTCGTAGATGGAAATTGGATCGGTGGGGCTCTTTCTGAAGTGGATTCGTAGGAATCTTCGGTCGCTGGCGATACATTTTCTCCACGTCGGCAGCCATAGCAACGAAGCGAATGTGAAACCTCAGCACCAGTGCTTGAAGATCTTCCTGAACGACTGGACCAACCAATAACGTGTCGTTCAGGGAATATCCTGACGACGTCTGGCACGACGCGTCGAATACGACCCTGACCTTCGTTGACAGCGTGGGATGTAGCAATGAGGAATGTCATCGTCTATTTATCGGTTCATCAAGCTTCTTAATGTGTCCTAGTTCGAGGTACTCGTTCATGAAGCGGTGGTATGCATCCTTGGTAGCAGGATCAAACACTTGTGGATGGAGGACGGAGTATTACATTAAATATTCTTGATCGTTTTATGTCAATGACACAGTCGCTAGGAAAAACATTTACGACGGTTACGATTCAAGACGTATTAGCTTTTAAAAAAGATGCCCTGTATAGAATATTTGCTAAATTTTGGCTGAAACCGGACCGATTTAATTGTATGCCTATCAAAAATTTTACAGATCTTCTATATAAGGATATTCATTAAAATTGATTGGTATTGAAGCATCACTTCAATACTTTCTTTCTTTCATTTTTATTATAGTCACTTTAACACTCTTGGGTCATTCGTGACTTGTCTGGGGGTGAGATTTGAACTCGTGACTTTGGCGTGAGAGGTATGGGGATGTTAAACACTAAGCCGGGGTCACCCCCCGTAGGGTGGACTAAAAATCTCATCCTTTGGATCTAACTCTTGAATAGGAGCTTGCCATCCTGCCATTTAACATAACATGAAAACTGCTTTATGCAATTTGAATTTTGAAGCATGTTAGTTTGAATTTATACGACACTGGAATAGAACAACACATACATGCGTTCCACGATTAAAAATTAAAGCTAGAATAAGTTAATTAAGCATAACTGTTATACATAAAAACACCTCTGACAATTTGAACATCCCAACACCTACACTATAACACTGATAACATTGATAACTACAGATAACACATATAGAAAAGAAGTATATAGACCACATGCAAGTATAGGAAACGAAACGAACCATGCAATACAAAACAACAGATAATAAACAACAGGCCAGAAGTAGCCAACAGATCGTCAGGCAATAAAGATCGCCGTTTTTCGAACAAATAAACGCGTACCATAGTAATTCTTTGATAGTGCTGAAATAAATTGTGAACCTTTTTATTTTCACCAATAAAGTGATTCGGTTCTTTTTGTGCATTGCAAAAAGTGTTTTTGTGCAGTGAAGAAAGGACTAACAAGTTAACTCGGTTGGCTTGTGTAATCGTGCGCATTTGGAAAGGAAGAAAAGGAAAATTTTGAGATTTGAAACAGAAGTTTCTACTACTGGTGCTATTTTCCGAGCCACTGTGTTTCTCCAACCCAGGAACACGGAGTGGTCGACAAATTTATTTGAAAGGCTGTGAAAATTTGCCGAGTTAAATTCAACTGGAGGTTAAATTTTGGTTATGTTTTATTAAAGTGATCTTTGTTAAAAGTGACCGATGGAAAGTTATCATTAATCTTGCTATCCGAGCGTGGTTATTTCTGACGGACAAGAAGTTAGATTTTGACAACCGTGGTTGAGTTCTGCTCGTAAACCGGTTGATCGATAGCACAGGGATTTTCGAATATGGAAAATAACTTTCGAAATGTCACTTTAAACCACAAGTTAAATTTAACTCGGCAACTGGTTTACAGTCTAATGGTGTAAAATTTTTGCATTTTCGAAAACTTTAAACTACAATCTACTCTCCTTAACTCGATATTGAAGGGACCATTGAGTTAGGGAGGATATCGAGTTAGTTAGGGACCAACTTTGAACATATGTATGGAAAATGTGATCAAGGTAGCCTGGATTTGCATCGAGTTAGGGAGAGTTCACTATAATTTTTAGGGGCGGTGCTATACAATAAATCGTGCTTCCGGATTCTAACTGGACCGCACTTTCCTTGGACATTTTAAATATGATATTTAAATTCGCAAAAACTTAGGTAAATCATCTGAGCAACTAGTATTGAAAGGTCTTATGGTTCTGGAATTTCGAGTGTATGAAAACTTCCAGTAGATGACGAACAAAATTGTGTTTTATTCATCTTGTTTTGTGTGTCTTACATCCTAGAGACGTGAATTTGATTAATAATGAAACAAGTATTTAAAGTATATTAAGTATCGTTCAATCCTTGCTATTGCTACTGATCCTTAAAGTAATCGTTTTTTTTTTAAATACAGGGTAAATATAATAAATTTAAGAGTCGTATTCATAACGAAAAGAGTCACTGCTGTGCTGTCTGTTTGTGCTTTCACTGCGAAATCTTCCGTTTTTTAAAATAGCTTTGTACTGGCAACTGCATCCCTCCCGGGACGAGAATGAACTGTTGCGTTGAGTGTAAAAATAATACTTTCCTTGTTCACTTGCATGTAAGTACGTTCTGAGTAGAATAAAACACAACTTCTAACAACCTATTGCTCACCTACATACAGAGTATGATAAATGTTAATATAACATATTGTAGACTGTTAAACAGCTTTCTTTTTGCACTTGCTCATCGTTTAAATAGTATTATTCTCTTCGTATTCGGGTGGAATATCTTCCACCAGAATCTGGCTATCGATCAGTTCCTTGCACAGAGGTAACCGCCCAGGACATGGCTCTGAATCGGCAGGTCGGGTCTTGCCCTCACACCGACTATCCGGCAGAGCATTCATACTGGAATCTACGCACAGTATGGATCGCTTTCTGATCGCTCCGGGTTCCCCCGGTTTGCGGCACGTCACCGAGCAGAGTTGCCATGGACCAACCCACCAGTCCGCCGGACAGGGATCCTCGTTGCAGTCCCGTGCCAGCCGTTCGTGGCGTTTGTTGTGGGCATTCTGCTCGCAGAAACTGTCATCCATAAAACCCTCGCCACGCTGGAAGCACACTGAATTGCGATGCTGTTTACCGCCACCACAGGTCACCGAACAGAGACTCCAATCGGTCAGCTTCCAGTAGTAGGGCGAATGGCTTCGAGTGGCATTCGAGGACAGCGTGTATTCGTAACGGATGCCGGCGTGGTTGTTCTTCTTTTTCATAATTACCTGGAAGGAGAGATAAAGAACACATTTCAGTAACAAGGTGACTAAGAAAAATGTCGTGAGTATGGAAATGATTGTAAACAAACAGAACCCGCCGATACCAGACGCCTAGACTACACGCAGAGTAAGCTCCATAGAAGTTGCCAATCGATTAAATGTTCTACTTCTACGCAACAGAAGAAGCATATAGGCCCATATTTCCTACAGGTTTGGTTCAAACGAAATTGATTGCTTTTACCGAAACGATTACGAGTGCGACAACAACGAAAATCAAGTAAGCGAGTAGGACATTTACCGATATGGTAATATCATCGGTGATCGGTCCTGGAATCTTGACCCGTTCCTGTTCGTCTTCCCTTTCGTACAGCCCGAGGCTTCCGGCCATTTCATACTCGCCCGGTAGTTGAATGAACCTGAAATGCGGAGAACGATTATTTTAAATAATTTTCCGATCTCTTCCAAGACCCGATCCGAAATCTCACCGATTCCCATTCAGATAGTACTCTTTGCCTCCGGTGCGGCCCACCCCGATGAAGTTCTTCGACGGGTTCATCTCTTCCACCAGAATGTTCCTCGAGCCGGCCGGTATTTGCAGCACATCGTAGTAGCCCTCGCTCATGTTGACCTTCTTGGTGAAGTTTCCCCGGATGACGGTGCAGCTGTCTCCGATTCCGCCGCACACTCCGCACTGGTCCTCGGTGGTGTTGGAGTCGACAACCCAATCGCAGCCCACCCGACGGCAGATACCGCCGATGCACATGTCGTTCGTTCCCAGATTGCACGGCGTCCCGTCGGCTGCCGTGTCGCCGAACGGGACGATGATGGTGTCCTCCGAGTTGGTGCAGTACAGTTCGCAGGGTTCGTCTGAAACGATAGTGGATGGTTCGAACGGTTAGATGGATGCAGTTGGTAGAATGACGGGGGTAGAAATGTCACTCTCGTTGTAATCCAAATTAATTTAAGGAATATTTACTTCAATGACAAATATATGTATGAAAATGTTCTAGAAAGAATGCACGGTTTGCCAAGTTGGTTTTATTTTAATTCGTTTAAAATTGTTTTGCACAACATAACTTTACATCGTGCATCGTGTAACACGAAACCAGCCCTGATATAACGTTTTGTTAACTGCGGTGCAAACTATTAAGTAATTATGTTACACTTTTGTCTCACGAAGGCTTCAATCATCGCGCTTGCAGTGCTGGTAAACTACAGGGCCAATAATGATAAATAAACTCAATAACCAAAGTCCCAGTATCCGATTACGACCCAGCGGCTCAATCGGTAGAATTTGATACTACCTTTTGGCGCTCCATCATCGGTAGGTACGTGGTCATTATTTTCCGTAAAACAATTCACTAGATTATGTCTATGGTACTTGGGCGCTTTAGTTTAAACTCCTGGTAAGCCGATACTGGTAGTGAGCCTAGGAAGGGGTGCTCCGATTGATTAGATTCGTCATATTCCTTGATTTAAAAACAATTGGTTTTTACCTCAATATGTTTATACACAAATTTAAAGTACATGATAGTTACGGTGCATTAAAAATTTTCCGATCATCCCTAGCGCTTCCGAGCGAACGAACCAACGGCAAATGCGCCCGTCCAAGCAAACGCCTATCGGTGTGCGATCAATCGGTGGGCGCCAACCGTGGATGGAAATGGAAAAGCGGAAGAATGCAACGATGCCTTTTTATAAAAGCCTCCAGCGTGGTGAAAGGTGTCGTCATTGTTGTTTGGTTTGTGCACCGTTGGTGAAGAGCTTCGAGAGGCAGCGTGTGCTAGTTGGTGATTCTTGGTCGAGTTTGAATTTGTTTGTCTGTTCGATACATTGTGGGTCTTCTATGATTCAACTGCAGTGCTATGAAGAATTTTGTAAGTAGTTGTGTGACATAGTGCGATGTTAAGAACTGAAGTTGCTAGTTGTTTTGAAAATTGTTGCAGTTGAAAATCATAGTGGGTAAAAGTGCTGGAAAAATATAAGGCAATGAAAATGTGTAAGCGATTTAAAAAAAAAACATAGAAATCTAGAATGCCACTAAGCCAAACGCAGATTGGATCTCTATGCCGAATGTGTCGTTAAGTCTTAAATTATGTTTCATGTTCGGAATCTTTGAAATTTTGTTGATTTCGAATTCCTGAAAATTAGTCTAAGCCTGAACAAACTTATAAGCGTGTTTTTTCCTCTGCGTTTAATTTGTTTTCTATGTTCAGGATCTTGATTAATTCTAAATCCCGCTAACCATGAACATGATTTTGGTTTTCTTAGTCTTGTTTCATCATTTTTATCATAATCTCATGATAATAAAATTTTAGAAGAGAAAGATCTCATTTTTTGAGGCTGGTTGTGCTGGGTGGTGAAGTTGTGCTGGGCGGTCAAGAACAGTAGCCCTGGAAGCTGCCGGAACTCCACCTTGACGTAAGTCTCAGCATCCATGATGAGACAATGAGACTTCGTCTGCATCTGGGTGTACAGTTTCCGGGCCCGTGACTTTCCCACCGTATTTTGCCGTTCTTCACGATTTGGAGCCTTCTGCACTTTGTACGTATGCAGTCCCTCCTGGTCCTTGGCTCTCTGAACGAAAAACTTGGACAGATTTTACTTTTTGGCCACAGCCCTGACCGAAGCATTGGGATTCCGCTTAAACGATTTCACGACACGCTTATGATCCTCATAACTAATAGAACATCAATTCTGACCGCATTTCTCCTTCCGTTCGATGCTCAGAGTTTCATAGCAACGTTTAATCACACGACTCACCGTTGACTGCACGATTCCGAGTTGTTTTCCGATGTCCCGATGAGAGAGTTGAGGATTTTCCAGGTGCTTGCGCAAAATCAATTCGCTACGTTGTTTTTCGGGTGACGCCATTTTTTCCAACTTTAGAAAAACTGACAGCGATAAAAATACAGTGTTAATAATACACTCTTAACTACTTCTATCCAAATTTCTAGAGAAAATACCCAATATGTAATTTTCTACAGCGTTTTTTATTCCGTAAAGCAATTTGATGTGGTGCACCCTTTATATGGAAGGCTCGAAAAATTGTTTAATGATAAAACATAATTTTTAAAAACTGTAACTTTTAATCCCTATATTTTTAATTAGTTGTCCATACACCGCAAAATAGTCACCTTATAAGAAAATTTGAAATTTCCACAGTGCTCAAACGGTTCCAAATTGGGTCCTGATTAGCCTTGCAAAGGTTGACTCATTTAGTAAGAAACTGACTTGGCACAAACCATTTGAAGTTTATCTGGAAAACATCCCATATGGGAAAAACAAATTTGTTGTTCATATATATCTAACAACTCACCATATTGCTCTGCTTTGCTGTGCTTGTAGGAAATTTTCTCAGCTACAGCTTTGTTGAACACCACTCTTCGATTAAATGTGAGGATCAAATATTATTAATGATTCAAGTCACTGATGTTTTATGACTATGCTCAATCAACTGTTCAGAAGGCAACATTGGTATTTCTGGCGCGTAGAATAGAGCACAAAAATCATGGCTACTATGTCACACTGCAGAATACAGTGTTGCCCACAAAACAACTGCTTGATCATACCATAAGATTATTAATCTCTTAAACAATTAATTACTATTTAAATTGACGTTTGGCTGAAAATGAATCTTGTGCAAAGTTGTAGCTGAGAAAATTTCTCAGCTCTAGAAATTGGAAAATTGCTAGAAGATAATGAACAAAAAGTTTGGATTTCCCATAGTAAATAATTTCCATACAAATTCAAATGGTTTGTGCCAAGTCCGTTTCTTACCAGTCCAGGCTTCACTTCACCAAATCAAATTTCTTAAATTTGAGCAGTTCAGGCCAAATAGCCAATAAAGCCTGACTAGAAGTAAATTGGCACGCAGTTTAAAAAGTCCATTAATGGTTACTTTACAGTATTTACAGCATTAGATGGTTACATTTCTCCACTTCAAACGAAATCTCGAACCTTCCTCTTGATGGAACTCATCAGCGCCCGCACAGTGGAAACGGACGCGGAATCAGCGCATTTCTTCCATTTTGCCCGCATTTGCTGGATGTCCTTGGGGCGCCACTTCGTCGAAGTAGCTGCTTGAAATTGCCCAGTATTTTTCGGTTGGTCGAAATTCCGGGAAATTCGGAGGATTCATTAGCTTGGGGACAAAATCGATCTTGTTGGCAGCATGCCACTCCAGAACCACCTTGGAGTAGTGGCAGCTGACCAAATCGGGCCAAAAGATGACTTTGCCCCTATGCTTGCAGAATAACGGCAATACACGCTTGGGATGTCATCGTTGAGGATGTGACGAATGGTTCCGTTTTCAGACCACCACTGCAAATCGCTAGCCAAATCATGGCCTTCTTCGCGAACTTGTCGGCTAACACGAACTTGAATCTTTCCGGCACATCCCCACAAAATGATGTATGTTTCGTCATCGATCAAAGTGCAGCCCTTGTGTTTCGTCAAAACACGGTCGTACAAGAGCCTTGCATGTCTTTTGGCCACGAAATTCTGCTTCATGTGCCGGTTCGGATCTTTACTGGCTTTGTTCGACTTGTATTCTTCCCTAGCAAGGATGTTTCGCACCGTTTGAAAGTTGGCGTTGTATCCCCTGGCCACATCTCGAATCGAAAGATCGGGGTTGGCTTTAACACACCTCAACACCTTGCTGTGCAGCTTATGATCCCTTGTTCCAGTTTTTTCGTAGGTTCGCTGATTCCTTTCCACACCTACAGGGTTTCCTTGTAGGTTTTGAGCGCTCGATAAACTGCTGTTGGAACCGGACCACTCCGTATTTTCCAGGTATTGTGCACAATATTTTTTTCTTCTTTCGAGTTCCATTTGACGTTATTTCTGAACGCGATCGACTACTTTGATCAAACTTGCACCAGTTGTTCTCTATAGAAGTGTAAACAAACCACTGTCAAAGATTTTCGATTCTCAACACTAGAGGCGTGCTAGCGGCGCGCGAGGGGCGTACCAATTTACTTTAAGTCAGCATTTATTTAGAAGTATAGCCATTAGCCATGATATTTTCTTAATTTTTCCTTGAAGATCTTGATGAATGTTTTGAACAACCTAGGCATACAGATTATGTCATTAGGGATAATGTTTCTTCGTACAAGCATTTCCATTTCTTACCGCAGTAATTTTCAAAGAGAGAACAATCGCTAACAGCAGAAACACTGACCATGAACCGAAAAAATTGCAAGTTTATTTGACGGCAGGCTTTTACTGGTTTCCAGCAATAATTCTGATTTATTGGGTAGTTAATATTTTGTTTACTGAAATTTCAGTAATTAATATATTGTTGAACTTTTTTCAGCAAACCATTTTGCTGGAAGGAAATATCGGAATTTCGTGTGTAATTTGTTAAGATCTGATTTTTTAAATTAATTTCGAATTTTATACACATTTACAACTGCAGGACTCTTTTTTAAGACTCCAAAACTACGTATGATTTTTTGTAGTAGATTTTGTTTACTTCATTCGAGATTTTGCCCCCTCTATTTTGAATCTTTGGTACGCCCTTGTCAATAATTATCATTTTCAAGAAGCTGCTTATAGATCTTTTTGATGTTTAATCGTTTTTCTTTTTCTAGCACACATGGATAAATTGACGGTTTGCTTTCGCACTAATCTGTTCCTTTTTTAAGGCAAAAAGCTCTATAGTATGAAGCCAGTGTGCTCCAAATATATTCCTATTTCCAAATGTCCATGAAAAATAAACGTCTTCGCAGAATTTAAAATATCTTTGAAATGACGACATGGCATCCCTGTGTGGAACAGAGACCAACGTTAAATAAAGAAATCAAGAAGAAAATCGGTGGTTTGTTTTTACGGGTAGTAGTAGTAATTTTTTTCTTTATTTGTGA